AGTTTAATCTTTCTAAATATGGCTTTTAGTGCTTGTAAAGTTTTCAAATATTAATTTTTAAAATTTTTTTTTGGTCGGCTCTTTGTTAGTTCGGTTAATCTTTACTTGTTTTCTTTAAGACTCCTGAAATGGGGGATGTCAAATTATATATTGCTAGCCATTGCATGAATTCCATTTCTTAAAATTTGACCCAGTTCCGTTCTGTTCTGTTTGCAACATTGCAAAATTAATCTAATTCAAACTATAACATCACATATGTAAGGCATCATCATTTTGCTTAATATTTTTTCGAAATTTATGTACATAATTTTTGTGTTTAGACTTTTATTTTCTTAAAAATCAAATATTTTTTTATGTTTCACAAGATTATTATTTAAAATTTTTTTTTTCATATCGATATTATTATTTCTGATTATTTTGATGCTTATTGACGTTTTTAAGTCCAAAATTTCGAAAATTATTTCTATCAGATCTTATAAAATCAAAAATATTGAAAAATGAACCAGATTAACAGTAGAATAACTTTATGAAGAATATGGAAATAATCGGATTTCGTAACTATAGAATTAAATATTAAAATATTAACTTAAATAAATTAAGTTTTTCCTTCTATTTTAGAAGTAAACGCATAGCCAATGCAGGAACTACTGTAGGTATAAAACTAAATTTGTAAAATCACCTAATGTTATGATTAATGTGAAGCGGTAGAGCATATTAATTACAGTATTTTGTACACTTCTATACATTACTCCGCCCAATTACACCGTCCTAAGGCGATTGTTGCTAATCCAGTTGAAATAAATTGAACAAAAAACTTAATACTCGGTTTAGTAAAATGTTTGCTGAAGGTAGATAAATGCTTATATACACGCAGTAAATTTAATTAAAATGCAATTTAATTACCAAATTATTCGAACTAAGCTCAAAAAAACGAGATCAATTCAAAAAATTAAGTATGCTTCTAGTAGGTTACGTTAGCCTTTTTTCGCAAATTTTCAATATATGATCTTAACTGTTAAAGTGCTAAGCGGCGCAAAAGTGATGCAATAGTTTGAATTGAAAATTACGCCGTAGCGCAAAACTGCCGCGCGCATCAGTGTGTTTTTGGTGTTTCGTGGTAGTGAACGTATTCTAATCCCGAAAATTAGAGTGTTTTATTTAAAACCATTATTTTTCCTTTAAAATAATCAAAAAATGTACAGCACATATACAGGGTTAAAAACCCTTAACCCCTATGGTTATTTTTACGAGAGTTGACTGTATTTCATTGCATATATACACAATAATGTTATATATATATTTTCATTTACATAGAAAAAAGCAAAGATTCTTATAAAAACACGCACCATAATTATTCACTTCAGACATTTTTATATAATTTCAAAATATAAAAAATTAAAAAAAAAAAAATATTAAAAATTTTTCTGGAAAAATGCCAATTTTTAATAAAGTTTATGAAAATGAACGTTTATTTTGCAAGCAAATTTTATTACTCAAATCAAATGAACTTATTAATGTGCACATACCCATACTTATGTACACACACACACACTTGTATATTGGAAAATTCAAATTTATTCATGTAATTATGTATAAATGTTGAAATTTAAACTGTCCGACAATTTTTCAAATGGGAAAAACATATAAGAAATAAAAAAATAAAAAGAAAAACTTCTTAACTCTAGCACGTGCCTATATTGAAAATTTAGATGATGAACGTTTTAACTATGGCCATTTTAGAAAATTTTTAAAAAATAAAATTTCATTTTTAAGAAAATTAAAAAAAAATTTCCAAATATAGATTTCGAAATTATTTCCTCCCCAAATGCATAACAAATCAAGTCCCGACGACGACGATCATTTCACTGATTTTCTTTAGATTAGATAGAAAATTTTTGTTAAAGAAAATTATGGAAAATTTTCTTGTAATAAATTAAAAAATTCCAAAATTTTAATTTACTCGCTTTTATATAGAATTGTTTTTTTGGTGTATCCGAGATGATGATTTGGTCAAAATATCATGGTGGAGTTTGTTCTGTTCTTCTATTGAAATAATTTTTTTATTCTTATTTACTTTAAAAAACTTTTTTTTTCTCTGTGTTTTTTAATTTTGTTTAGATAAAGGCGATAAAATGTTTTTTTTTTTATGATTCTTAAAAAAAAATGACTTTGTTGTTTTTTCTATTTTTTTTGTTTGCTCTCTTAATTTCTTCTGATCTGATTTTTAATAATGATAGACGTGCTTCTTAAGTATAATGTTGTATCTGAGGCTAAAAGCAAAAAAAATTAGCAGCGAAATTGTTTTTTTTTTTTTTTATGGTTCATTTGAAGTCACATATGGTCAGTAACGGACGGCACATAAGAAAAGATATATTACGTGTGTTGTTTATATAAAGTATAAAAATATTATGAAATCAAAGTATTCAAGGTTAAAATAGTTGTAAAAATTATTTCAAAAGACCTTGAATTTAGATTTAAGAGAGAAACACTAACAAAACACACAAAATTTAGAAGGAACGAAAAAATTTAGAACGAAAACCACCTGATGGTAAAAAAAAAAAACAAAAGTTTATAGTTAATTGGAATTTTTATTGACTTCTTTTCTTTCTAGAGTAATAAACTTTTTTTTTTTCAAATAAATCCTGAAAAGAACTAAATTAAGGCATAAAATTTTTTAAATACTCTTCTCTTATTTTTCATCTTAAACAATTTTATTACAATTAAATTTTTGAATATTTTTTAATTTAATTAGAATAAGAAAAAGAATTCTTAAGATTTATTCTTGAATTTTCGCTGAAATTTTTTATTACCAGAGTGTTAAACAGTTCCCGGAACAGGAAGGACGCTCATCTATGATGGCATTTCAACTAAAAAAAATTGTTAACACATTAACGTAATGAGCCCTTCCTTTTTACGCATTTCCAATCTGATGCGAGGATGAGAATATAGAGCTTGTAGGTTTCATACTGCGAGATCCGAATTTTCAAAAATAATTGAAGTAAGTATGTTCAATTCAAATATAAAATCATAGCAGTTCGAGACATGAAACCTTAATAAAATGCAATTTATAAACCCCATATGAAAAGTTACTATTTTTTTTTTGTCAAAAATGCAACATTATATTATAAAATTGAAGTAAAAAGATTATGAAAAATAGCCTAAGAAATATTAAAAATATTTGTTAAATGGTACATTAAACTTGTAAATCAAATGGTATTCTTCCAATACTATTTTTTATTTTAAAGTCGAAGAACAGAAGTATGTAATATGAAAGTCTAGAAAGAAATATTAAGAATTCCCTATAATCCCTCACTATGTTTTTGTATTACAGTAGGCTCGTCATCTAACTAGTAAACTCAATTAGACAAGAAACAGGTTTATGGTCATCTACAATATCATACACTAGCCCTATACTACTCCTAGAAACGAAATACGAAAAAGCCATAGCGAGATCTTATAAGCAAAACTCTCTATCTAAAATAAGAAATATTTTGCACATATTTGAAAAGAACCTACCAAATTTTTATGACTATAGTAATTGCTCTGCAAAATTTTGAAAAATAAAGAATCTTTCATGTTTGTAAAGAATAATAAACAAATAATCGAAAGTATTTTCCAGTTTTTTACAAATTATATCAAAATTATTAGAATAGGGGATAGACAATTGTTGTCGTAAGTGTTCAACACTTAGCATTTTTATTAATAATCAGAATATGAATAAAACCTTTTCCTTTTTTCCTTCTTCTGGTAGATTATAAATAAAATAAAATTTTATGCTCTTATTATAGTTTTGTGTAGGTGGCAAATTTGTATTCGGTATGGTACTATACTGTAAGTAAAAAATCTATTGCGTTAGCATCCCAATCTAGCTGTTGTTAGGAGCAGTCCTTCGAAGCTAACACCTCTTAAAAAATCAAGTATTTTGTGGGAATCAATTCCCGTTGGTACAGTGTATAAGAGCAATCTAATTATATTCTTCAATAGTTTGCCATCTTGTCAATTAGTGCTTCAGTATCCCTGAGGAGTTGTATTAAATTCTCCGCTGCCTTACATAACATTCTATATTCAAAAATCTTTATTCTTTATATCTAACTTTTTTAATATAATTTTCTCAGGAAGCCCGTAAGAATTTCTTCACACAGTTCGTATTTTCCTATAATTACTCCTATAATGGTTGCAAATTGCTTCTCGTTGCAATTTTCCAATAATTCTTTTGCAAGGCGACTTCCTAGACAATTTCTTTATTTTTGTTGCCGTTTTTTTTCTAGTTTTTACTTCATCAATTTTTTATTATTCAAGATTTTGCAATTGCTTCTTTATCATTAACGTAAAATACTTTTTTTTTATCTCAAATAAAAACATTTTTTGTTAAAATAAATAAAAAATTGAAACTTATTTCAAATATTTTGAAAAAAAAAAAAAACCATTAGGGTATTGACAAATTGTCTTTAATCTATTGGCTGCAATAAATTACAAATAATTGTGTAAAAAGCGAATAGCAAATAAGAAAAGAAAAAGAAAACAACAAAAATGGCAAAATATGTAAGTACACAACAATTGTTTTTTTTTTTCTTTCTTTTCGTTGTTTTTTTGGCAAGAAATTTTATTTGTCACATAAATCTTGACCTGGCGCCGAAATACATAAAATAAAATAAACAATACAAAAGTATAACGGTGTGACGACAAAAAAAAACACGGTCTAGTACCGCAACTATAAAGTTTCCAAAACCAATTTGATAGATTTTTAATAATAGAATTTTATCGCAAAAATTCAAGCAACATGTTTTTCTTAAGTGTTGACATTAATTGTGTATGTGCAAACCGCGAATTAGAAGTTAATAAATTATAATACTCTTAAACTAACTAAACTTGTCTGAAAAAATAATGAATTCAATAAAAAAAAATTTAATTAAGTTTTGCAAAAAATATTTATAAATTCAACAAAATAAAAGATGAAAAATCATAAATCAAAACTAAAATAAATCTTTTTTTTTTTGCAGATTTGAGCACCACACTTTCAAGAAATTCTACGGTAGAGTACATTAGTCTGTCAAAAATTCATCACAATCCATTAAATAAGGATGATTTACTTTATGAATCGGAACGTAATAAAAGTATAACAGACGGTAAGTTGTGATTTAATTTACACCACCTTTGAAATTATGCACAAAAAATTTTAGTATTTAAAAAAAATTCTGTAGTGTAAAATGAACCAAAAGTAAGTGGTTCCCGTATGCTTAATAAAATCTCATAAGTTCGAAACTCGAAAAATTCGCAGTAGATTCGAAGTACATTCGCATTACCAACGCTTACTGTTAAATTTCAAACAAATATTTATTTTCGTGCTTTTCTTGCTTCCATTATAAAGTTTCGAAGCTGATTTAAAATCGAACAGTTCCAAACTTGTTTAAGTATCAAATTTGATTTGTTTATTTTCGATTTTGGAGAATTTTGGAGAGTATTTACGAAATGTACATAAATTATAAGATACAAATGACATTCGTTGTTCTTTAAATCGAATTTATGTGGTTCTTCAATAACGAGAAATTTTCTCTGATCATTCTGGTGTTAAACTTATTCTATTTTAAATATTCCATATTTATTCTAGAATTTGAGTATCTCAAAATCCACCGATATATTCGTAAAAATTATGCTCTCGCTCTCTGGGTTCTCTACCCCTGAACCTAAAACAATATTGCTGCGTGTAGTCTATAAACCAGTCTCTTCCTCACTAAGGTAAGAGTGTGCTTTACATTGCACCATGGTCTTTTCTAACTTACTCCAGTTTAAAGTTATTTTTGCAACAACTAATTGGCTCAAGATGCGCATCTTAAAAATCAAAAATTGAATTTTTTGTCGCAACTTTTTTGCTCCATTTTATTTCTATGTTTCAAATTTAAATTAACAACGAAATTTCCATTATGTTTTTCGTTTCGTTAAGATTTCAACGTGTGTCGTGACCCATATTTCACCTCCCATATAGTACATACATACATACATTACGCCTATATCTGCCTTAATTCAAATTAAGATTGCAAAACTTTTACCTTTTTTACACTATATCCAGCACAATATTTTAATAATTTAAAAAGTAAACAAATAAACGCAACTAAATTTAAAGATAAATAACGTTTTAGAATAAAATAAATATAAAATTTATCTTGTATTAATTAATTATAGACCAGAAATTCGATATACATTGTTTAGTAAGAAGATCTAAACATGGTAGCAAGCAACATTTTCCATGTACCCGCGTAGAATACAATAAAAATTAATTAATATTTATTTTTATACCCGTACAAACGTATATTCGAAGAGTATACTAAATTTGCCTTAGCGTTTGTAACGCTAAGAAATAATACTCTGGGATATAGGCTCAAGTGTATGTTTGTGATCAGTGGCGAATTCTGAGTCGATTTAGCTTTGTCTGTCCGTCCGCCTATCCGCCCGTCCCAACGATAACTCAAAAACTAATTGAGCTAAGTTCACCAAATTTTCACAAATGATTTATTATATTAAGTGCCAGCACCCTATTTAAATCGGATATGATCGGGATACTAGTTCGGGTAGCTGCCATACAACTTCAAAATTTATATGGCTATATCTCAGAAGCTATAAAAGCTGTAATATTGAAATTTCATATAGTTTATTTCATATAGAATGTATTAGTAGGGCCAACTTGGTTGAGAAGAGTCGCTGAAATTGCTTAGCTCCTTTTGGTAGCTGCCATATATTTTCAAAAGTTATTTGGTTATATAAGGCCAATATATAAGTAAGGCCAATGTGTTTGATCAAATTCGTTGAAATTGCTTGGCTGTTTCTGGTAGCTGCCATACAACTTCAATAGTAGTTTGGCCATATCTTAGAAAATATTGAAAATTTTGCACAGTACTGAAATTTTGCATAAATAAATATTGTAATATGGCAACTTGAAGTCGCAGTCTGTCCCATAGTCGGTCAGCCCCATAGACACATATTTATTCGCACACAGAATAGCAAATTCGTACGGGTATCACAGAGTTTACACGGTCAACTCTATTTTTTCTCGTTTTTTTTTTGAATTTTTCTGAATTAATCAACAATTTATCAAATTTAAATTTAACAATTTTCTTTTGTCGTGCTTATATTTCTGGCTCTTTTTTTTTGTTTTTGGACATTATAAATTAATTCTTAATTAATAAACAATAAAGGGCCACATTAATTCCATTAGAGACGACAATTCAAAAAAACACCTATGTTTTGTGCTATGCATAATTTGCATAATTTCATGTTTTTTATTTTTACAAAATTGGTGATATTTTATTTCATACACAATTAATTTTTCATAGCATATTATAAATTTTTATTCACGATAATTTTGGATATTTACGAAAAATGTTGGTAATGTTTGTAATATCGTCAACATCAGGCGGTAAAAATAACAACAAAGGGAAATTTTAAACAAAAGAAAAATCAATACAAATTTAAATTTAGTATAAGAAATTTTAATAAAAAAAAAAATAAAAACAACAATTTAAAGTTTTAAATTTCAATATTACAATTTTGAAAAATTATTTAATTTAATTTAATATTTTATCTGTTCAAAATAGACAAGCAACAACGAAAGCAATAATAGGATTTTATTTTGCCTCTAGAATCATCTAGATTCTAGATGATCAAATCAATTAAAAACCAATTTTAATTTTATCAAAATTCATTGAAGGGAAGAATATCTGAATCGAGAAATAAATGGCATATTGACGAATTCTGAAAAAATTAACGAAAACACCGAAACTAAATTTTCAACTCAATTTTGAGTTCATATTGAAAATTTATAATAAGTGCAGATTATCTCTATTGTTACTAAATTCGGCGAAGCTATCTTGAAAAATTCCTACATGTAAATACAAAATTAAGAAGCGCAACAAGTATTCAAGAATCTCTTCAAAATCTTTAAGTCGCTATGTTCAGAAAATGAAAGTCTGGTTATATTACAACATAAGATTTCAAAAATTCCTACAGATTTCTCACAAGGGAATATGAAACTTTTGAAATTTCTTTCTTATTTATTAAACAAAATATTTTATTTTTAGATTTCATACTTCAAAAATGCAAAAATAATACCAAATTATTAAATAACATCAAAAATATTTAAAGAGCTAAAATATATAAGCCTAGGAATTTAAAATATATATGACATAGTTTCCGACTAATGAACTATGCATGTAGAAAATAACGTGACAAATCCGAAATTTATAAAACATTTCCAAACAGCTTATACAAAAAAAATATTTGTCGCAATTACCTCGTTTATATATGCCAGTTTGAATACTTGCCTTGAAGTCATCTCAAAACTCAAGCGTCTACTTTTTTACTATGTCAGTTTGAAATCCCCAATAGTGACATTTAGCTATTAGATTTCAAGCAATATTTTTTGATTGACTTGAGTGAATCCTACTTAAAGTCAAGTAACATTTAAATGAACATTAAATAGATTTCAAGTACACTTAAACCTGTTATATAAACGGGGTAAATGACAACAGTATATCAGAAATTCGAATTGCTAAAATATTATAGTTAATTTAATTTTAGCTGAATCCAATTATTTGAGGCATAGTCGCGGTAATTTTTTATATAAACAGTCGAAAGTCTAATATTTGTCTAAATTTTAAATGAAAAAATTAAATTTTTTCTACCTTTTTCGTCCATAGTTCTTTGAATTTCAAATACCGTTTTAACGTATGTATTACGTAAAGACTGCAAATTTCTGAAGGAAATTTGACATTTTCTATACACACATACGTATTGTAATTTAAATTGCGGTAAATTTTTACTTTTTTTTACAGTTAACGTCTTATATAACAATATTCTACACACAAACCTCGTTTCAATTTTATAATACCATTCATTATGCTAACTCTTTCTCTTCTAATGTAAAATTTAAACAAAATCCAAAACATAAAAAAAAATATTTCTGTATCTAATCAATTTCAAATTGTCATTATGAATTAGTTTTCGAAAAATCAAGTAAATCTTGATTCATAGACCTTCGAATTCTTTTCAACATGCATGAAATTTTCAAAAAAATAAAATAAAAACATGATATTTTTTCTACACTTGATGAACACACACGCACACGCATTTACATATTTCGCATAAATTTTATTTGCCTATATTCAAAAAAAAATTTTTTTTAAATTATTTCCCAATCTGGATCAAATATTTCACGATTACTTCTCTCATTAATAATTCCGTAACTTATCATTCTAATTCGAATAAAGTTTTAAATTTTTTTTTGAATATTAATTTAATTAAAAAGTTATCTGTCATTATTAATATTTTTATTTCCGACTTTAATTCTACATAATTATACTTGATAATTAAGTATTTATATTTTAGGCATGAAATCATTGCGTGCGTGTGTGTGTGTGGTTTTTGTTTATGTTATACGCGAGTCGATTTTTAAGTAATGTACGCAATTAGCAATCCAGATTATCAATAAAAGAGTATGGTTTTTTCGGAATAATCTAAAAGAGAAGTCTGATATTACAATCGTAAAGACCTTAAAACAAAATGTTTAAATTAAAATTAGCACGTTGTGCTAATTAAATCAAGTTTAGGAAATAATCTTATAGTTTTCATAATGAAAGTAAAAACATTACTTTTATTACAAAGTGATTTAAAAGTTTCAGAAGCGTATATAAGAGATTCAATTCAAAGCCTTGTTTGTAATTATCAGCTAGTTTGTTCGGTATTATTTAGCATTTATATCTTTAGCTCACGCTCAGGAAAAATTCTCCTATATGTAGACAAAAAGGCATCTTTGAAGCAAATTAATTTCAAATCTTAAATTCTGTTTACAAACAAAATTTTTATTTTTTCTAGTTCTATTTATAACTTTTGATTTAAATTAGGTATATTAACTTTTCTAGCTAGTCTTATCTTAGTTCTAGCAAAAATAATTTTTTTTATTAAATTAAATTTGAAATAAATTTAAATTTTTACCTACCGGATTTCGTACAATAGGAGATTATGAGATTTTGACAATGGAGGTTATGAGATGGCACCAAATTTCACATGTCGATGAAAACCGACTTCTCCTTGGTAAGGAGAAAGCGTAAATAAATTATTTTTAGAGAGATATCGGTCGGTCTGTCTGCCTGTCTCTCTGTCTATCTGTCTGTCTGTGCGTGCAAGTCAGTATCTCAAGTTCGGCTGAACCAATTTTCACGAAAATTTTATCATATTATTTTTGATCATGTCTCAGGATCTAATGGACGGAAAGAATTGAAATTTAATATTTAAATTCTGGTTTTTATAGAAGTTAACTAGGAAGAGAAATTGGATCACAGAAAGAGGCCTCTACTAAGAACCCAATTTTAATTTTTCTACAGGTGCATTAACAAAAGCCTATTTTCTATCTTTCATAAAAGGAAATTTTCATAATTTTATACTCATGTCTTTCGAATTAATTTGCAATAGAATTTATAATAACATATTATATAAAATTACTTAAAACTTGGATTAAGCAATTGTTGTCTATATTATCTGTAAAGAATTGCAATTTGCGCGATTTGTAATTTTCATCTTTGAAAGTTTTTGTATTCAAAATTTTAGTTGATTGTCATTTCACGTTATTTTTCAAATAATTCTCATAGCTAAACAAATTTTTCACTTAACAGGAGGAGCAACTTAATTGCCACATTATAAACTAATTTCCTTATTAATAATTCTTCTTTTCATTTATTTTCTTTTATTTTAGATTACTATCAAGGTTATAAAACCGGAAATTTTAGAAATAGATCAAGTAAAATATGGGATCCTCATCCAGAGTACATTATTGATGCATTTGGTCAAAAAATACATCTTATGCTATACCAGGATACTTCATTTGTTCCACCAGATTTTAAAGTAAGTAAAAAAATTAATGTTCTTTTCAATTATTCAAAATTAAATCATTTATCATAACACAATTTGAAACGAAAACGAGAAAGGAAAAAAAAAAACAACCTTTGCAACTTTCAAGATAGTTGAATGTAAAGGGTAAAAATTTTTTTTGTTAAAACCATTAAAATCAAGGTGTGCCTTTTATTATTACTTTTGAATTTAATAACACTTTTGACCTGAAAAATGGAGAATTTTTTTTAATATAAACGGAATATTATATTTTACAGATAAATAAATGGACTCGACCGACAACACTTTGCCCACTTTTGTCACAATAATTAATAATGCAGAAATTGTTTTTCTCCATTGGAAATTAATCTTCACAATTGATATAATCTATAAACTAACTGACTTTCTTTGTACTACTTTTGTCTGCTCACTTTGTTTTGTTCATTCAATTTGATAAATTTCTTGTTGAAGAATTTAAGAGGAATGCAAAATTTCTTACATATTTACGAATTAAATCGATTTTTTATGTGGAATAGCAATGAAAGCCAAGTTATTCAGTAAATATTTTATTATTTTAACCCATTAAATGCCATTGTTTGTCTTTTTGTTTCTTCAAATTTTATTTTTAATGTGTTTTAATGATATTGAGATTAAATTGAGAGAAGAGCAACTACCTAAACTGGCTGTTCTCTAATGAGAACTATGACACAACAATTCGTAGTAGAGATACCAATGATTTGTAAAATAGCACATTCCATTCCCGTAATAAAAGTAAAAAAAAACTGACACCTTTCAGATATTTTAAGTACAGAAAAGTAATAAAAGATGTTTTATTAAGAGTATTTACTTAGAACCAAATTTTGTAACATACTAGACAGGAACTATACTATTCAGGAATAATAGACCTAACAACAATTTTCAATTTAGCAATTTTAATATAAAAAGTGGCGCTTTTCAGACTTTGATGAACTATAGAATTAGAAGGAGGGAGAAACAATTTAGTGGTTTTAGTGAAACAATTTATTTCCGCATAAGGGAGGTGATGTGAAGGCACCAAATTTCGTATTTCAAGTTTTCGGTAGGCTAGCGAAGCATGAATAAAATTTTTTTTTCAAAGACATCCGTCGGTCTATTTGTCTCTGTGCCTGTCTGTCTGGGTGTGCAGATCAGTATCTTAAGTTCAGCTGAACCAATTTTGATGAAATTTTATATGCGATATATTAGACCTCGAGAACTGAATTTTTCCGCGGGCCGATTTTACATTTTAGCACATATAAAGAGAAATAATTAGAAAATTTTCTTAAAATTAAATATTTAAGTTCAATGCGTTAAAACAATGAACCTATATATTTTTTTTTTGGAAAGGTCAGGGCTCCGAAAGCAAACAAAGAGGTCGATTTTACATTCTTTGCCATATCTACGGAAGAGATTGCTCGAATTTCTTGAAATGTAATATTTGAGTTTTGGTTATTACTGAAAATACCTGGTGAACTTTTCAGGGAATTCGAATGACACAAAGTGAAAGTCTACTAAGAGCCAAGGAGCCAAGTTTACATTTTTCTATGTACATATGTTAAGTAAAAGCTTACTTACTCCCTTAAAATTGGAAAGAAATGTTTAAAAGGCATTTTCAAAATCTTCTGTAACACTGTCCTTAAACTAGACACAACATATTGCGGCGGGCTATATTCTGATCACTTCAAATTTTTTTATAATTTACTGGGAAATGTGATGACAAGAAATTTTCTAGTAGACATAAGACAACGTCAATCATAATTTAATTAAAATAATCATTTTGCTACTATTTTTGTTGTGTTACATAGTTTCTATCATAGTTCTTTCCAAATTTATTTTAAAGTCATATTTATTAGCAAATAATTAGCAATAATTTTAAAATCGCCTACATTTTTTGCTATTTAATTTTATCGACTGAAATATTTATCGTAATTCAAATTCCAAAAATATTTTATCATAAAAGAAAAAATTTTCATTAAACTCTTAAATATCTTAAATACTTCTAATGTTGATTTCTAATATAAGTAGTCCAAAAAAAAATAAATTTTTTCATGTCTGAGTGTATTTAAGTGTGCATTTATAAGCTAATCCGGTATTTGTAAGAAAAACTTGATTAAATCCTATTTAAATTTCGTGCAATTTCAAATGCAATGAAAAAGTTATCGCACATTAAAATTTTATTAATTTCCCATTTAAATTTTATCTTATGATTTTTGCTGAAGAAATTGTTTTAATAATTTTGTGAATGTTAATTAATTTAATGATATTTTCCCTTTCACTTTACTATAAGCTAATAAATTCAATAAGTATACAGTAAATAATTCACATTCAATCACGCTCCAAGTATTTTTATCAGAATATGATAAGGAGTTTCATAATTTTTTTATCGTATCTATCCCATTGGTTTCAATTATCTAACAGGAAAATTAGTTGAAATTATCTAACAGGAAAATTAATTGATGGTGCATGAAATTTTTTAGGACAGTAATTTTTTATTTCATAAGAGTATGACAAAATAATTTTAAATTTGTAGCAATAAGATTACCGAAAAACGTTCCAGTTTAATGCCCAAATTTTAATTAATTGAAACTCTGAAACTAAATCCGGCTTGTCAATCATGCTCTTATAAATATTATTCCAACACCACAATCTTTGTTATAATAGAATAGGAATATCCCAAGAGAATATTCTAAACCATAATTTTGTGTTATACTAAGATATAATTTATTTCCAATTGCACAGCTTCTTCATGTATTCAAAATTTACTTCAAAACTCCAATTCCAAAACTTAAAGTCTTAAAAAAATCAATTTTAATATTTCAACCTCAAAATCCAAAAAAAATTTATATCAAATATTTTTTTGTCACGGAAATTTTTTCAAGCTCCGATATTTTCCTCAAGTCATTTTATACTCGTAATATTCAAGTGATTAATTGACTTCCAGTATAAATGACTTATAATTTCACTCGATAAAGATTAAAAGTTTCAGATATTTTCAAAAATTAAAAACCCAAAATTTGCAATTTCATTTGATAGAACTATTAAAAAGTCATCATTCATTAACGCGGCTTTATACACTATACATTAAAAGAGAAATATTAGTTCATTGTCCTGACAGCTACTGTCATCATAATGAAAATGAATTTTTTCAATTATTATAATTATTTCAATTTATAAAATGTTTTAATAACTTCTGTACTCAAAAGTTTAAAACAATAAGAGAATAAAAATAAAAAATTTTTTGTCTATTCAAACTGAGACAAATGACTAAATCATGATAGGTCATTCCACTCCAACTAGTTTCAATGACATTATGTGTAACTGTAAACTATGTAATGCAAATTTTTATTACCATAATTATGTATGTTTGTATTAAAAAATATGTGCCACTTATTTTATGAACACAAAGATAAATATTTTCAAATGTACATGCATATTATATTCAAATTGGTATTTAAAATTCTCTTGGCCTCCTTCATACTGCATAATTTGGTATCTATATCCTATGTATGTCGGACTTAATATGATTTTTTTCTTTAAATTTTGTTTATGCTTTTTTCTTTTCTCTGAAATTATACCAAATGTGGTGGATTATGAGGACAAATTGAACAAATATAAAGTCTCGTATTAGTTGAATTTTGCTTAAATATGTCAAAAGAAACGACAATTTTATTATTTTTATTAAACAAAAACAAAAGAGAAAAAAGTTTAGTAAAACATGCAGAAGGAAACGATGAAATTTGGAAGTTGTCATAATCAACCATAGGATGTTTTACTTGAAAATTGTTATACTGAAGGAAATAGACGTATTTAAAAGGAAAGTTATGTATTATTTGTAGCCTTTTGCGTGTAAAGGAATGCTACTCGAGCCAACTGACTAATCTAATCAGTTTGAAATAATATTATGGGAATAAGTTTAAGTAAATAACACGTTCAAGTAAAATGTAACTTCATACACCACTTAATATACCTACGTACAAAAGCATATATTCTGTGGCTATAAATTGAAACTGACTAACAATTTTCTAAAAATTTATTACTTTCGTTTTCCTAACTTTCATTGATTCTAATTATTGTAGGCCTACGCCTAAATTCGGTGATTTCGAGAAATTCAATAACTCGATTTGTCAACTTCTGCTGTTTCAACTTATAGCTATAGTTTTTGTGGTCCATGCAGCACTTTTTGTTTATATGATGGTATGATGATGTGTTATGAGTTATAACACAATGTTTATATACCCATTCGGAAACAATATTTTATTTCAAAACTATATGGAGAAAAAAGGATAGAAAAAATACATGAAATGAAAGAAAAATTTAATTTAAATAAGTTGTGATCGTGTATATAGAGGAATGTGTCATTAAATAGGTGCCAGATTGAATATTGTTTTAACATATTGCGAAAAATTACAAAAATTTTGTTTTTTTTTTTTTTCAATTTAAATTTATTATGTTTCTATTAATGGTATTAACAAAATTTTTAAAAAGTGAGGCAAAATATCAATTAATAAATAAACTGAGAATTTTTTTAATGGAGTTTTATCAGGTAGCATGAGTTTATTATTAAATTTAAGGATAAAAGGAAAATACATGAGCACAAAAAAATTTCTAATTTAAGAATAAATAATCAGTGCAAATTTTTAAATGTTAACCAAGTAAGCTAAAAGGCATTTGAGAGTTTTATGATTGAGGGGTACCCCTTTAATTTCTTAGACGGAATCTCTTGGGTACTCTTGGGTACAATTACAATCTTCGACCAGGTTAGCGAGACTAAAATCAAATTGAGACTAAAAATATAAGGAATACCTCAATTTGATCTAATTTAGAATCGCTTTGCGAGCTCAACTTTAAAAATAAACAAAAGACATTTCTACCATTTCGAACCAAAAATTACAAAATCTCTTACTGAAATAACGAAATTTCATTCTATTTGTTCCGATTAAGTTTGATATTCAGCTTAAATTTTAAAAATTCTCCAATTTTCTACATCTGATCCTACT